TTGCATAAAATATTTTAAAGAATTTTAATTACAATAATAATTTTTCATTACCTACGGATCTGTAACCCATAATAGCTATTTTTCTCTGCTTTGGTGGCATCTTTCAGCATTTATAAACAAAAACGCTGCAACAGTAGTCCATAAAGGCTGGTGCATGCTCCAGTTAAAACCTATACGTAAAATTAAAGTAAGAAATTAAAAATATATGTCTTTATATTTGTTTTTCCTAAAAGAATATCTTTATATTTGAATTTATTATTAGGTAACACTATTGTTTTAAAAGTTGAATATAATAAATTGGTTCCAAATATCATAACCCTTATTATATATTTTAAAATAAAAAGAATACTGTAATAATATGAATTACATTTAAAATAATAAAAAAATGTAAGAAATACATATTTTTAGAGTGATTTAAACTAAATAAAAATTGTATGAAAGTATTTGATGACATCATATTTATTTCCTTTAATTATCAACAAATGTGATTACATCATAAATATTTGTCAAATGGACTAGACATTCTTAAACATATATAGAATTATCATTTATATATTTGTAACATTTCATCCTACAAAAATTGCTAATTGTAGTTCTGTAAACTTTATAAAACACAAAAATCGTTTATGTAAAGTATCTAGATGATTCACTGTTTTCTGTGAAGGAATACTTTTTAGAAAATTACTAAATACAGGCAGTAAAAGGCATGTGCGTAAGAACGTATGTAAATATCTACACATAAATACATGCGCATATATAGATGTATGTATTCTTATACGTACTATGCATTTATCAATTACAAAATAATTATCATTTACTTGTACTTCGAAACTATAGTGCGTTTTATTTTGTAATATGAAAATCGCACTCATTATAAATGAATCTTTCGTCAAATTGCGGATTATTTAATGCACATGCACATGCACTACTCACCAAAAAAAAGAAGGTACATTAGGTGCGTTTCATATTAATCGACATATCGACTCGTATTATATGTCAAGTATTTAGTCCAATAAAAGTTGATATTTATATGATGCTTTAAAATAAATTTTGAACACTACCAACGAAAAATATTATTGTTTTCCCTTAACCACTGACGCGTAGTTTGATACTGGTACTTTATATAGAAATATAATTTTCGTAAGAGGAAGTTTAGAAGCAAACGGTGAACTACGCACTTTGAATGTCACATACAAAAAATTCCACACTCTACTTAACTGTAATTAGTATTACGTATTATAAAGTACTGCTTTATCTTGCAAATAATTCTTGAGAAATATCTTCACAACGTTCTCTCTGTTAATCGGTTGTACTTACTGAAAAATGTATAACGATATGAGATTCCACGAATACTTGCCAACGGATGTTCCAATCAAATGCGCCATCTGCTCGAATAATACAGGAATTAATAAATTTAAACATATTTAACTAGTTTTCGATACGATTATCTTAATTTTCCATACAATTATCGATTTTCCTTAAGAAAAGTTATATATCATCGGTTGTTGTAAAACAGATTATACTCGTAAATAATTATTGTATTAAGATAAAGTATATATTTGTAAGCATTAAAATTTTATTTATTGTAAACTTAATAGATTTTTAATTGTTTGTATTTACAATGCAATGTAATTATTTTTTAATTAATCAGTCAAAATAATTATCAATCAATGGAATTAAGAAAAATAAAGATAATTCGCTAATAAAGTTAAAATTGTTGAAATTTTAATATTGGAGCATTATTGTATGAATATACATACATACATATATACTTATATTTAGAAAAAAAGAATTTTATCGTATTAAAAAGTCTCAAATAAATATAAAAGATTATTAACGTACTTACATTACACTTTCCACTTTCTTATAAAAAAAAGATAGGAAAATAAATATTCATCTGAAAGGTGACTTTTTTAATTTTATTTTCCGTTTGCAAATAAACGTATTTATCTGACAAGCTTAAAGAGAAAGGTGAACGTTGTCCATGTCTTTTAGTAAGCTCAGATTTTTATATTATATTGTTTATTTTATTCTTTTTTAGTGTCCCATGAGATCCCATAATGTGAGGCACGTGAAATAAAAATATCTAAACGTGTATACTACCCATATATCACAAACATTTCATGATATTTAACTCTTTTTGTAACTTAATCTCCTCATTTTAGAAAACACTACTGTTTATTCTAAACAATGTTTAACAACTTTCGATCATCTAAAAATAATCTTTGTTGTTCTGGTGTAAAATTTAGTTATAAGAGAGAAACTGCGGGAATCCTTCTTTTATCTCGTAACTATAAAAGTGGTACACCAGCGAGCAACACGCGCTAACAGATACGCATCGGTAAAATACACTGTATGAAAAATCAAAAGTAGAACCGGTTCAGTAATAACGTACCAGTATCATAGATAACACGTTCCTCTTATATTATGTAGCTTTCACTAGGAGAATAAGGGAAAGTTGTCAAATTTCGAAGAAAAATCACAATTATGAAATATTGACCATACTTCGAGAGGGTTCCTGCGCTTTTTGTCCGTTTTATAATACTATTTTTCTAACGTAAACATATTTATACGAGAAAGTGTTCTCATCGTTTGTTTTCCTTTTTTTAACAAACTCTGATTTAAATAAATCCATTAGCAATCAAAGGGTTACTTTTATAGTCTATTTGCTTCTTGTGAATACGTTTTTAAAAGGAAACGTAAAGAGTAACTTTTATACCATTTCTTGCTAACATTTCGTATATTCCAGAGACATGCATGCATACATCACATAAATTATTTAATTTTTCATATGTTACTTAAATAATGATAAAAATTATAAGACAGATTAAAAGATACGTGGCTCTAAAGAACAACATTGAAGATCATTTGCAGTTATAAAGAAAATTCTTGTCACGAGTTATTTATTGATACATATATAAAAGTCATTTGGAGTATTTCCTTCGACTTTTTTAGGTTAGTTAACGACGATTTCACTTCTTGAAATTATCACCGAAGTATGTATTTACGTACAAATATGTTCACAGAAAGCTACTGCTTTTTTAAGCGTTTTATATGTCCGTATTTCTCAAGTTTACAGTTAAATATAAAGTTAATTTTACTATTAATTTTCATCGATTGTTTCATAGACGAATATCGACTTTTTCTCCCTCTCCCTCGTATCATCAAAACTATAAAGTTGCAATTTGGGTGGAAAATGAAGGTAAAGAAAGTACAAAAGCATTGGTACATTGCAAATGCAATGATAAACTAGAAAGTTATAACTATGAGCTACGTAATACGAGATATTTTTAAAACATGATGAAACGAATCTTCGTATTCTTTCAGCAGTAAGATGATATAAGTGTTAACCAACTTATTGTACATAGCCACGTATCAGATATAATTATCTGACTATTTTGCGAATAACCCTACGTGCGTCTGTGATATTTTAAGGCGTACCATCTATCGTTAACGACAATTTCGTTTCAACGAGGCAATTTTCAATGCTCGAAATAATTACATATTTCAATCAATCACGGAAACATGTCTCTGAATACTTTAGAAACGAAAGAAATATCATTTACTTAATATAACATTAATTTTATCAAATGTTTATGTTCATTTCCATAACACTGTGAGAGATTTAAGATATTGGATAAGTGAAAAATTTATTTCAAGTGGACAAACTTCTTTCGATATTCAAATTACACTTTGAGAGACTCTGCATCTCGAATTGATAAATAAGTACAAGTAACTATGATCCTTATCTTCAGTGCATGAGTTAAGTCCTAGCTACATATTTAAATCACTTTCTTCTGTCTATCATTTTAGATACTGCAGAGCAACGTGAGATAAACCCGTTGATCATATTAATTATGACCAACCCTGGTGTCGTTCAATGCTGCATTATTGATTATCGAATTAATTATTTACTTAAAATATTTCGAAGTAATGATTTTCAACTGTAGATAGTTTTTAATTCTTTAGGGCCATGTTCAAAGTGTGGTCAATTCTCGTGTGTACGTAGTTACAAAAGAGAGTAAATTAAATGTTTCTAATAGTGCAATATACTTTTACAATTCTTCAATAAAATTTGCATGTAAATCATTTATGTTTCTTATGTGTAGTAGTTGTAATTTTATAAAGTATATCTCGCTATATTTCTTCATCTTTGTATGAATTAGAATTGTTACAATGTTGTATAAAGATGTTTCGTAGATTTGGACCATCAAAAATTGAATACCATTATTCAGTAGGATAAATTTATATGATTTATTTATATGGTTTTCATTAATAGATTTGTTTGATAATTTAAGTCGACTTAGATAGAAAAACAAAGTGACCAGCGTTTTTCGATTGATGAACTATCATAAACAGGTTTATTCGAAGAAAATTTACAAAAGAAACCGATAGACTTAAAAAAAAAACACTAAATTGTTCTGCTTATTACACTTACAAAGGACCTGGTAACCCACTTTTGACGAATGACACTTTTACTATGATAATAAACTTATCGAGTATACTACTTTTGTTTTACTTTTGTATACTATTCAGAGGATTCAAATGCTCGATATAAATTACACAAGTCAGATGAGGATGAAGCAGAAAGATAATTGTATTGGCGTTTATATGTTACATGGCACAGCGGTTTCGTCTTGAAATACGTTCACACGATATTCGGAAAGTTTACTGCCATGGTAAAAGTGTCATTCGCCAAAAGTGGGTCAAGTAAAGCCATTATAAGCGTAATAAACACAACAATTAATCGTTTTTTGGAGAGTATCAGTCTTTGTTTCTAATTTTCTTCGAATAGATCGGTTTACGAGAGATGTGATCAAGTAGCCGTAGGAAATTTTGTTATTTCGAATAGCTATGTGAAAAAAGTTTTTTTCGATGTTCTAACATTCTGAGTGAAATAAGAAAAAGTTCATGTCTGGAGGTACCTACAAATTAGGAATAAAAATGAGCACAAATTAGCAACTTCCATTAACAATATCTCTTTAACTAGTAAATTTCGTACAAAATGTTACTTTTCTGAATGGAATCACCTGTAGATTCGACTGATCTATTTTTCTGCACTCGTCCGGAAACACTCTGTGTATTAATATATACTCCAATTAATAATTCGAACAATTTCGAATATTATTACAGGGGAAATGTGATTTTGTCATTTGTAAATTTTCACTCGAAGCAATGTTCAATATTTTTTCTCGGTTTATGATCAACCGGAAAGATTAATTATGCAGTAAAATGATCGTCTCTTATCGCATCTCTGATTGTATTAATCGATACATATATATATATGTAGGAAACGAAAGCAATTTCTCTTTCATCATAGCACATCGTGTTTTTATCTTCATCTTCATTTCATTTGAACGACGAAACCATCGTTGATGCGAAAGTTGAATATTGGCGATTAAGTTTTTCAATACAATTAATACGCAACATGTTTGGATTTTCTTATTGATCCGAACTGGTCTAGCAAGAACTTGGAAACAAAGAAAGGAAATGAAGTACAGAATCCTCGGGGGTTCACAGAGAAAGAGTACGGGGATAGATATAAGAGGATCCTGTTTCATCGGAATCCTCAGTTTGTTATTCGTTTCGTGTAACAGACAAGTTATTAGAGTTTGCGAACTAACGTTCAACCATGAGGACGGAATTATTGTTGCAAGTAAATCATAAACATTCCTAACTTCATGCTTTCATTAGACATCTGTAATCATCTATGTTCATGTTTTTCGAAAAAAAAAAAAGGTTTTTTAATTTATATCAACAATTTTCCTGCTTTTGGTAGCTCTCAAGTATGTGATGTTTTCTACTGAAGAGATTACTCGATAGAATATATTTGAAAAAATGTAGTTTCTCTTGTTCCATCGGGAAAAAAGCGTAATTTTACAAAAGTGTAGTGGTAAATTATTTTTAGCACGGTTATTTTAAATCCAACACGTACCCACGTCGACATGCATAAAAGTGAGCATTGTAAATCATTCTTTTATGATTTTCAGTTTACTTTACTGTTAACGGTGCTACTGGTTACTACGTCCGAAGGATTCTTTCTGGAATAGTAAGTGACCTTGAATTCGAGTCTCTTCCCTAGTAAAAATGATTTTTCAATGAAATTTATTATTAAATTGGTACTTTTATTAAATTTAATTGTTACCAGCTGTATAATTAATATTTAATTGTTTACTCCATATTTGCACATTTACATTTTAGCCCTAAGAAGGTACTAACGGATTTTTTTCAATCGTTGAAAGAAAAGAAAGAAGCAAAGAAAAAACCTAATATACAACATTATCATCTGCATTATTATCCAGTGGTACACCCATTATCTGAACCACCATCGAAAGCGCCTAGCAAACACGAATTGGAAGAAATCTACAAGTAAATTTGGATCTTATGATAATATTAGTGAAAACAGATATAAATTTTCAAATTTCAGTTATGATCTTCATTTTTATTTGTTCAAAATTATTTTATTTCAATGAATGAATTTTTTATCGATTTTAATAAAACATTAATTAACAGTAATGGAAAGTTGTATTTATTATTTAATAATAAAAAATTCTCGACGGGTTCGTTTCATTTCTAACATTTTCAGCGAACACCTTGCGGCACTTGGATGGTTCAATCATGAATACAAGTACGTCCCTGAAACGAATATCAAAATTTCACCGAGTTTATCCGGACCGTGGAAGGATTCTGTACCCTGGGACCATGAGGAATTAGGTAAAATTGGAAATAAAATATTCTAACTTATTTTCCTGTTTTTTAAACACATAAGATGTTGAAAAATAATATTTATCATGTGATATTACAGAAGCGGATATCTTGGAAACAGTAAATCATAGTGAAAAGGAAGGTGTATACGTTCAAATACCGTTTAATCAAAAAATAATCATCGAAAATCCTCACGTCGATAAAAAATCGAAGGGTGGTTTGTTGTCGAGTTTTCTTCACAAAATTTTCGACTCTAAAAACTCTATACACTCATGAAGCATTAAAAACAATAACAGTTGAGTCAAAAGATTATTCCTAAAGGAGTAACAGTCAATTTCACCGAAAGTTCAACGATATACCTAAAGCTGCAATATGATTAATAATAGGTAAAAATACTTTAGAAGTATTAATATTCTGTGAATGACAAGTGCCACTTTTATAATACTGTCAAGTGTTAATTAATCTTTCGTATTGATGCGCGTATTTATGTTTTACAATTTCTTCAAAAAGAAAAAAAATGAACACTTGATTTTATTAAAGAAATTTGGAAGAAGCTTTCCCGTTAAGTTTTCAACCTGTGGTAAAAATATTTTATAGTGTTGGATACATAGTATAAAATTCACGAGACTTGTATTCAGAACCGATATGTATTACGCTTTAATAGAACTATACGTAGTTTCAGTAGAGCTAGTGCAAATTCCTATTTTTTCATAGAGTGTAAAAATAATAATGTTCCTTATATTGTTACAATATTTGCTGTAGATAGTGTTAAGTTTTTGTTGTTTGCATAGTTTTTTTTTATGCTTGTAGATATCTCTCCCCCAGTGTAGTATTAGAATGTTCAAAATGTGATAAAAATTTGTTGAAAGAATAAAATTTGTTACAAATAAATATACTTCAAAATGATGCTTAATTTGTTCAATGTGATATATATTGTACATATATTGAATTTTTACATATTATACATTTCTTTTATACAACTGTTAATGATAATTGCAATTTTTTTTCATACGTAGAGTTTTAGTTTTTGTTGTCTGGGATCGTGCAACTTCTTGGCAAGCATTTTAGCAGATATCTTCAATAATCGAGATATAATCGATGGTGGTGATATCTTTCTTTTCTCGATACGAATTTTTTGTTGTTCCTCATTGTACTCCTTGATTTTAGCCATCAGTGTCAATATGTACTTACGATCGGTTAGTCGCACAATATGAGTTCTCATAATCCTCTCCAGTCGGAATTTTACCGGTGGATAATTTATTCTATGAAAATGCATCGATAAACAAGGTAAAAAATAGAAAACATCTCACAAAGCAAATACTTTTGCATTTAAGTAAACATTAGTAAACACAAATAATTCATTAATTCACACTAACGTTATTGAATTGTATCTGCTTTTCATGGAACTACTTAATGTGAAAATTTTAATATTACACAAATTAGGCAATTATTAAATGTATTAAAATGTTTTATTTCGTTTAGTTTTCATTTTATATTAATAGAAGAAATCAATGTCTATGGTATGGTCTAATGGTCTAATGGTGAAAAAAGTAAGTATAATATAAATAGTAAAAGTTCTAACTTACGCGTATTTTACGGGTTCAATTTCCCACCATTTTAAAGGTGTATCATAAGGATCGCTGGCGGAAATAAACATTTTTTGTACGTCTTCGGACACTCTTTGAGGCTCTTTTAATTTTTCCTTTTTTTCATCATCGACTTCGATCTCCTCTTCGTCATTTTTCCTGGTACGATCACTCCTTTCCTTTTTTTTATCATTATACTTATTTTTACTCTTATATTTAGTTCGTCGCTTTTCTATCGTTTTTGTTCCCATATTAAAGTATCTATTTTTATTTTCGTTTTGATTATATATTTTTTATTGTTATAGAATGTACTTCATTATGTTGAGGTAAATATTATCAAACTTGAATTTCTTTTAAACGAATTTAGTAAGCTGAAGGAAAAACAAACACATCCAGAAAGGCAATCTTGAAAACTTTTAAAGTACCTTGAAACCGTTAAAAGCGTTTTATACTTAG